GAGCTGTGAGAAATATGCACAGGGTGTAAACCCAGCCCTACTTCTATTTGAAGGGTGTTTTTTAAAGTTTCTGCATAATTAAATCATTAAGATGTAAACAAAGTCATTCAGATTGGTTTGATATGATAAGTTCCATTCTAGAGAAAAATGAGTCAGAATTATTCACAGTGGTGGTGATAGGAACCAGATGTCTGCATGTTTAATGCCTCTAAAAACCACAGAAATGTATTACTTTACCTGTCATATGAAATGGCTAAGAATACGCTGCATGATGCCTGAGACATATAGATCATTTGAGATGATCGCAGTTATTTAAGCTGACTGAAATAATTTCCCACAGTCATTAGATTTCAGGCACAAGCACAACTTTAAATGGGCAAGTAAATGTAAATAAATGAAACAGTAAATGCATTGATTAAGGGCTCCTAAAAAAACAAACAAATTCTGACTGAAATTAGATACGAAGTAAACATAGCTAGGAGGTAGGATGGCTAAATCACCAGCCCCCCAAAAGAAAAAAAAAAAAAAAAAAAAAAACACACAAACACACCAACCCCCACCCCCGCGACCAGATTGCATATATTCACACTATATCATGGAAATCTGTGCATATGTATATTCACAGTGGTTGACTGTGTGCTTGTGTGAGTTGAGTGTAAGTGTTTGGGACTCTTACTCACTGGCTCTGAGGTTGAGATCACTGAAAAAGAGTTGTTAGGGGCTCAGTAAACGCATCTTTGGTTCTGTCCCCATCCCAGACAAATAGAAAGCTATAGGGATGTCAACTGTTGTGTCAGTGTTTTGCCAGTTCTCTTTAGATCCATGTTCATCCCCAAAAGTCAGTTCTGAACCTGTTCCAATTAATAAGACCCAACCAGTGCTAAATATAACTGTCAGTGCCGGCCTTGGCTCCTTCCGCATTTACTGTTCAAATTGTGAAGCAGGTTCCCATGGCAACATGATCGAAGCCACCTAGGCGGATTCTGGATATGTGCCTTACAAGGCAAACGACCACATGTGTTTGACGCCACTCAAAAGCACCTTTTCATTTCAGAGTAAGCGGCTCCACTATGGAGGTATGGCCATCCTTTCATGCCTTTGAATGCCATATTTTGTTCGCTGATTGGGCCCTAGTTGAGCATAATGCCAGGAATTGAATGTGTCACATGGCTTGTTCTTGGCATGCCATCAGATTTTACAGGAATGCTGCTCCAGTTCTGTGGAAATCCATGACAGATTGATGCATAGTTACCATGTGCAGCCTGAGGGCTATAAAGACTCGAAGGACAATGATCCTGACCTTCCCTTTTTTATTATGGGTGATTACAGTGTCAAGATTTTGAACATTGTCTTAATTCATTCATACTGTTCTCCCAATAAAAGTACTTAATTAGCTGCTATTAATGCATTCCTTTTGTAGCACACCATGCATCAAAATAAAGAATTCCTAGTTGTAAATGATGCTACTCAGATAATGAGAGCTTCTGATCAGTTCTAATTCCATTGCAGTTATGTTGCAGTCCGCTGTGGATATATGTTGAAACCAGTGTTAGTAATAGCGTGCAACTGTGCAACTTTATAATAAGCAAGGGTCTTCAGCAAAGTATGTCAATCACTATGATACTTTTTAAAATTTCTCATCATTTCCATTTTAGACACAGCATGATATTTTGTGTTTGTGAATTTTACTGTTATTGGCTCAGAACAGAATTTATTTCAGTAAAAAAGTGTACATTTTTAATGCATTTTCAAAAATACTGGTAACTGGAAATGCACACATATGAGGGAAATATGTAAATGAGATGTGCTGATTTTATTCATCAGTATGGACACTCTCTCCTCAATAGACTTATTCTGCAGTGCCTCATCACATTCTTATTTCCTTTCATACGCCCACTTCTATTTTCGACATTTCTATTTCTGACACAAAAGCGAACTGACTAGTGTGTGGCGGGTGAGAATGTGTGTACTATCATCACTCGTTGTGAGGTTACAGCAGCCTATCAGTGGTTGGTTTAACAAGGAGATATTAATAAGGAGTAGTTTTGGGGGCAAATTCCATTACAATGTGAGAAACTAATTCCTGGGCCTAGTGAAGATTTGTTTGTTGCATTTTAAGGCGCCTTGTCTTGTGTGTTCAGACATGTAATGTGTAATAGAAATGTAATAATACACTTAGCCTACGATTCAGGATGCTGGGTTTTGAAATACAATTTGATATTCCTACAATATTTTGAGCAACATTAAAATGAAGCAAAAATAGTGTCTGTTTCCATGCTGGTTATTAGTTATTGATTGTTGCAAACTTTGGTGTTCAAGTGAAACAATTGCATTAGGTGGTATGATTAATAGATTGCCCATTCTCCATGATTCTCCATGATCTCCGGCAGAGATTTGCTGTTTTTGACATCAGTAAATGGTAATCAGCTATCATTTATTATTCAGCAGTAATGAAATCAGATCTCAGCACCTCTTTTTCTTAACTAGGCTTGTTATTTAATAATTAATCTTAAGGCTTACTATCCAGTAACTACTATAAATTACTATAAACTACTGATTTACTTATCTACCTAATTTTTCACATGACCACTGTGTCGAGATTATGGCTGATATATCTGGTTAGGGAACGGATGTGTTGTTTGTTAGCATTTTTAGCAAAGACAAAGAGCTTACTTTTTAGGTTATTGTTTTGTCCCATTAAATGTATCTGAGGTGTTCTGGGCTGTCGTACAGTTTATGATTGTCCCTTCAGCTGAATAAAGATGAAATTATGGCGAGAACAGCAATGCTATAGGAATGAAAAGCGCAGAGCTTCTGAAGACATGTGAATGTGGCTTCATAATGATTCCTCTAGAGTCGAGTTGTTGGAACCCAAGCATTCAGGGTCCCAACAATATAGATTATCTTTTACTTCTGTCATGTTAGGATGTTATAAACATTTTATGTAGTGTCTGTTCATGATTCACCGGAAATTCTGTCCATAAGTAACTCAAAGGGTCATGGGGTGCAGGAATAAGGTGGATACGAAATTACTATAAATTACTATGGAAGCCCTGTGGGTCTTTTTTAGCTGGGAAAGTAAGTATTGAAGTCCAGGCCTGATGGGTCCCTAGAGTTTATGAAGTTTAAGGAAAAAACTGACAATTAAACAGTTCTTAAAACAGAGCAGTTTTTTTTAATGTCATTTTTAGCTGTAAGCTATCCAACTATATTGCACAGGCACTCAGCTGAATCCTTTGAGGGCTGTAGTGTCTACAGGTGTTTGTTCCAACACAACACAACACCTGATTTCACTAATTAGGTTTTCTTCTTTGTTGCAGAGGAGAGCTCATTAGTGAAATCAGGTGGTGTTGTTCAAAGCTGGAACAAATACCTGCAGACACTACTGCTCTTCTTAAGTACCTGGGCTACACTGCTTTGTGCTCTCACCCATCTCACCATCAGACTGTGAGCACACGATGCATGCCATCCCCTCAGGACAAAAGACTACCACAAGGGGACTTCAGAGCTAAAATGGATTCAATAGTGATCTTTTAACTTACAGGGAAATGCACTTCTCAAATCGTTCCATGGTCATCATTCAGTATGTTTTACGGGAGAATTGCAGATTTTTCAAACACTTCTGCATAATCAAATGGTCAAGTTGTAAACAAAGTCATTCAGAGTGGTTTGATGTGAAATGGTTCATTGGAGAGAAGCTTACCAACTAGGAGCCTAGTGTCATGATGCCTACAAGGCCAATTTAGAAATTTAATTTACTCTCCAAAATCAGCAGTGAATCTATACATGTCTTCTGAGATTTTAAGATCATGTTAGTAAAATAGTAGTAAATCTGAAAAAATTAGTTTTCTTTGGGGGCTATTTTGCCATAAAACACCCTGTGTATACTTCTCCACCATAAATGTATTATAAAAATTCATTTTAGGCCACAGCTTAGTGTAACTACCATGAAACAATGTCTCAGGCGTCAGGCTGTGTATTTATAACAATTTCATGCAATAGTTTACTGTATGGTAGCTGTACAAAACTCTTTGGACATCTGGTTTCAATCACCACTCGTAAAAAATTCAGATTTTTCAGGAAATTTCTCATCAAACCATTCTAGATTACTTTGTTTACATCTTAACTATTATGCATTTTTTTGAAGAATCCATGGATCCCCTTTTAAATTCATCTTGAAAAATACTCTTAGGCTTGTCTGTCTTTGAGAGATTACGTCTGAAGAATCTAGTTCTCACTATGTATTCTTCTAGGTGAATGTTTGCACTAAAGTAATGATGTTCCTTTTTAGCTCCCACAAGCATAGTCAAATGTCAAGGATTAAAGCAACGTTGAAAGTCAGGATCGAAAGCTCGATTGACTTGTAATGTTTGGAAGTGTCAAAGTGTCTCAGTTTATGGACAGGAGTCAATCAAGTGTAGTGGTTGGCCAATAATAGACTTTTTGTTAGTGTTTACCAGGAGTGGAATATCATTAGAAACAAAGAAAATCAGACCAAAACTGGTTAGAGACTCATATTGCAATCAATAGACCTTACTCCATCTTTTTCTTTCTCTAGCATTTTCACGGAGCAAAGAGTGTTGCCATGGTGATGTGAAATGGCTGCACACTGCAGCAGTGGGTTGGTTCTGTTTTGCAGAAGACTGTGTTTGACACATTCAGAAAATGAAGGCCTAGATTTTCTTGGATTTTTATGGCTTTAAAGATGAATTTTCATTTATTGTTTCACTATTTACTGCTGACAAAAAACGTACATATGAACAGTAATCATACATATTCATGTATCTCTGTAAACAATGCCAGTCAGGAGCCTGTAACTCTTCACAAGGTTAGAGATGGACCTCATGGACCTCACAGTAAAAAAGGCAGTGACAGCAAGAAGTGGTGCTGTGTTCCAAGCAACCTTTCAGATCTGAGTAAAAGAGCTGTATCAAGTCTAATGCTAAACACTTGCAATTTTTCACTGACTCCTTCTCTCTCTCTTTTTCCCTCTTTCTCAGTGTGACAATGCAAAAGGATTAAGGGCCTTCTTCGATGCAATCTGCTACGGTCCCAAACATTTAATGATCTTTGGTGGAGTGTGTCCGTCAGTGACGTCCATTATTGCGGAGTCGTTAGAGGGCTGGAACCTGGTGCAGGTAAGAGTCACAGAACAATATCTTTTTTGTGATGCAATGATCGGTATCACTCTTTATATTCCAAGTTCAGTAGCAGTTTATGTCACTGTATAAAACGTCACAGAGTTGGACTGCACTGGACTTTTATGAATTGAGGATCTTTAGGCTGAGATTGGATTGAGATTCCATTTTGAGTTGGAATCCCATCAGCATCATAACCTGGTCTTGACAGATATATTGTAGTAGCAATTTTTGTGAGTGGAACAATGACATGAGGTGAGCAGCAGCTACAGATCCCCCTTGCAGCTGCTATGCTTTTGCTTTTGCATTGGCAGGATTCCTACAGGACCACTATGATACCTTAAAGGGGAATGATGCAATTTTTTTTGTCTAATTTGATCATGTAAACAAAATCATTTCAAGTGTTTTGATGTAAAATGGTGCGCTGTAGATTAATTTACTCACTATGATTTTTTTTACAGTGGTGGTGAATGGAACTAGGAGTCACAATGTGTGCAATACAATTATAGCCTTTTTATTTACTATACAAAATGACCTATGAATTCTACATGTCTTCTGAGTTTTTATGTGTAATATAAGTAGTAAAATGATAAAGTAAGAAGTGCTAGATTATTGGGTTACTTTAGATTATTTGGATACTTTGCCATAAAAATGCCCTGCCTGTACCCTTCCACTATTAGTGTGTTTAAAAACATTTCAGGCCAAAGCCTTATCTCAAAACAATTGTAAAATAACGCCTCAGACATTGGGAAATGTATTTTTAATCATTCTGACTAATAGCTTTCTGTGAGGCTTTCTTTTAGAGGCATTAAACTCTTTGAACTTCTGATTCCTATCACCACCATTATGAATTATGACTCTGTAAATTTCTGTAGAAGAGCACGCTATAAACCACTCCCAATGACGGAACTATGCAAAAATATTGACCAGTCAGTAAAATTTCTATTTGATTTTCTCTTTCTATGTCAAGACTGAAAGAAAGTATGGCAAGCAAAATGAGTGTGTTTGCTTTTTGGTTAATTGATTCATCTCCTCTTCTCAGACTGATTGGCCGGTTCCTCCTGAGGGACCGAACAGTGGGATGGGCTCTCGGATGTCCTAACTTGTGGATTAATCTCCCATTAACCTCAGCAGAATAGATCTCTAATTAGTCTTCTTTAATCCGTGCAAGCCTGATCTATTTCACAATGAGCAGAGGAGATGAACATTAAGGAAAAGCATTATCTAGCCCCATCGGAACTAAGCATCAACTCATTGCTCCAAGATACTGCAGGCTACCTTTATTTTTAATTAAAAAGCACATTCGAGAAGAATGCCAAATTAACATAGTAGATATTCTTGATCTGGAGCTTGGTTAAAACATCCCTTATGAGAGGTTTGTGAAAGAGAGAGAAAGATAGAAATGTAACTTGCTTGTATGGCACTGATTGGAATAGTTTCATAGATGGAATTAGATGTGTTACAGCTTGAACAAATAGCCTTCAGTAGACTTTTGAGCTCAAGAGTTACAGAGTCCTTTTCTGGGTGTCAGTGTATATCAAAGTAGGAAAACTTTATGTTGTATGACTGTCTGGAAGCCTGTGTTCACTGGTTTTCAAACCAAGGTTTGCAGACACATGCAGAGAACAAACTTTTGCCCACTTTACTGCACAGTTACTGTTTATTTACTGATTTTAAAATGGTAAATTTGAAATGTGGGCCCCTGCAAAAGTTGACGTATTTTATATTTCATGTTTTATTAAACATGGTAAACTCAATAGAAAACCAAAGAGAAGCCTGTTATATACGTGGAAAGGTTTCAGATTATAAAGCAGGAGGTAAGCAGCTGCATGTCCATTGTGATGCCGTCTTTCATGCACTTTTTTACGTCAATACATTACTACAGTTAAGTAGTGCCACACAGCTTTTGTGATCTTCAGATTGTCAATTGTCATTTAGTGGCTTTAAAAGGCTCCTCTCTCATGTCACTTTGCTGCTGTAAAACCCATCATGTTGCTTTGAATCAAACTGAATGTCACCCAGATTGTAAAAGAATGATTAGGTTCAGCGCAGACATTTCATCCTCCCTTAGCGCACACATGAAAAAGCACTTGTGCGATAGTGATCGGTTGGATCAGAGAGAGGCAAATGAGGACAGAAAAGACTGTTTTGGTGTTATTACAACCTGCTATCTGTATTACTGCTGTGTTTTGTGTGATGATAAGCAAATTCCAGTTCACATGTGGTTTCCACAGGCTGAAATTCGTTGCTAATAGGGTTGCAAATGTGACCTTGCACTTGACCGTGTTAATTTGTCCCTGTATAAAATCTGCTGTGTGTTTACCTGTTTGGAGAATGCATGGCCATTGAAAATGGTTGTTTGTTATATTTGGTATTATGAATTGAATATTTCTCTTTATAAAGAAAATGTTGGCAAACTCGTTATTCTGCTGATATTAGTTTTGCACAGATCTGTCGATGCAATCATTGATGTGTTGATAGTAAGAGCCTATATTACTTTGTCATCATAAGCGGATGAAATATTGACACAGTCATCTTCAATGAGAAATGTTTTTAAAATATGTCTATTGTTTTTGACACCACTCAGTTGGTAATCTTAGAAATGTACATTATTTCAAACTAAGTCACATGGCCTGATATGGACCATCTAAGGAACAGGATGGAAAGGGAATAGTATGCAGTAGTGCTATAGGAAATACTGCCGTTGCTAGCAGCAACCATGCGTTCGAGGCAGGCATAGTGAGAGCGCTTTAGCTAATTACATCCTGAGGTAAGCCGACCTATTTAAACCTTTATAGGATGCATTCCTCTCAGTTTAACTTTGACAGTTTGATATAGCACATGACTGTGCATTAATACCATGCCACTGGTAGTTTAACGTGCTCTGTGGAACTGACTCTAAATGGGCCAGTCATCTGGTCAGTGGAGGTCAAGTGGAGCCTAGTTTATGCATCACTGTGCTGTGTCAGTGTTTACACTGTTCTTATTGTAGATCGACCATTTTCCACCACTGACATTAAGTGAATAAATGAATTAAGAACCCATTTTGTAGTGAGAGTGCGCAGAAAACAGGAAGAGTTCACATTTTAGTTGATGCAGTTTTGCTGGTGCTCTTGATTAAACCTTAAATGTTGCAGATGTCTCTGGAGTTCACAAAAGCATTGCATAATTAAACAGATGATATTTTATTATGGTTCAAATTTCATGAAAAATTATCATGGAAAGAAAAAATATTTTTATATTTTTGCAATGTTCTTGTTATTGCTTGACATCAAAACAATCAGAAAAGTGTGGTGCAGTCTCAAATCTATTATTATTACTGTAGTTATTATTATGAATATAATTACAATTATTATCACTGTAATTACTATATTACTAAATATGTAATGATTAATTGCATTTGTCTTATTTGCCCAGATTAGACCCTGTATAAAGATTTTTTTCCATTAAAAAGCAGTGCATTTTGTTATAGCTTCATGCTGATTTTGTTATAGCTAAATGAGTGGACAAAAATGAGCAATTTAAAAGCAGTATTTGAATGAGAGGACTGCAGTCACAGTCTTCAAGGCTTTAGCATGGGACTACATCAGTTTTGGAAAATGCGTTAACGACGTTAAACAAATTAGTTAAATCATTAATCATTTATCATGCTGACATGGTAATAAAAACATAATGCATCCAATTAAAAGCCTTTTTTGCTGGAGCACCAAAAACCAGCTTTACATTTTTAGATATTCCTACGTTTTTCTTTTTAGACCTTAGTTTCAGCCTTAAGGGGGAGATTAGGATTTATAGATGGCTTTATAGTCTCTGCTCTCTGTAAGCACCCTGCGTTGGGTGAGATCCAGGCAGCGCTGCACTCTGAGCCGACAGGCTCTCATCTGCTCCCTGGCGAACTGGTGCCAGAACCAGGCTGCTGTCGACACACTCCAGCAGACACTGTCCTCCTCTCTGACGTCAGCTGCAAGAGTGGGAAGAGCAGCTAGCTCCAGAGTCATTCATATGCAGGCACATGCAGGGCGGCTAGCACACTAAGATGATCAAGGGAATGGAAATGCTTTTTGCAAGCCCCCCCACCTTTCACACAATGAATTTATAAGTAAGCATGTGCTTAGGCTGTCTTTTTATTATTGAGAACTAAGTACAGCCTGTAAATGCATTTTTTAGCTATCACTTTTTAACGCTCTACCTGTTCTCAGAAGCGCATTGCTTTTCTACACGTTTGACATATTATAGTCAAACTGGCATGGGCACAGTGTCAAGCCAATTTGAGTTGAGTTCATTACGAATTAATGCTAGAAGTGAAATAGAAGCTTTTCTTTGATTTGTCAAAAAAAGACTATGACATGATATCAGCTTTGAGGAATTCAAAGCACACACACTCAAATACAGACACATTATTGCGACGGGTGCCGCAGTGATCAGTTTGCAGGCACCATCTGCCCTCGGATTTATGTAACGACTGATCCACAAGCAGCTCTCTCACATCCTGATTGTGACTCATGATGCCCAAGCATGGTTTTAGTGAGAGATTCACACTCACCCTACTAGCTCTGTTCTTACAGGCCTTGTGTAACATAATGTGGAGGAAAGACACTCTATGTTTTCTGAATGTGCTAGAGCACTGAACCTACACATGACAAGCTGTCAGTGAAATACAGGAGAGGCTAAAGTAGTATATATGGTGGCACAAAATGTTTACCAGATGAGTTAAATAACACTAACCTGAGCAAGAAAACGCAAAAAGTGCAGGAAATGGAGCCCAAGCTTTGGCTGTTCTGGACAATTGTCAGCAATAGTTTACGTATCATAGTGTGATTTCCTCTTCATTTTGGCTCCCCTGTGGGAGGTTTATACAGATGATCTAATCGCTACTTCATTACTTTTTGGGTGAATTGGCCTGCCCCTAAAAAACTTTGCCAAGAAATGCTTGGAAGAGATTTGATCCAAGACTGATCTGTTGTGGATCAATCCTGTCTGCAGTACAGTGTTTCAGAGTA